CGGGCTTTAACTCTGCTGATGTTTAAATTCTCTGACAATAGACCCTGCATTAAGCCTTGCCAGCCACTTCTTTCAGGAAGGGTCTGTCTCAGAGCTCTCTCCAGGTACAAGTTAAAGTGAAGAGGGAGCCCATTTGAAAACTGGGAACATAAGGTCACGTAAGAAGGAATGGCCTGAAGCAAACTTCCCACATTTCACACTGGAATTCAATTTCTGGGAGCCCAAGCATAAAGGTAAAAGAAATCAACAAACAGTTTTCATGCCCTGCTGGTGGCTGACAGGATGTAAACACGAACTGCTTACCTGCCACGGCTTCCTTTCACTCTACCACGTGCTACTGCCCTTGCTGCTCTACCAACTCCTCTGCAGTATGCCAGAAAGACAGGAGCAGTGGGCACTTCCCTCATGCTCCTTGCCTTCTTGTGAAGATCTGCTCTTCTGTGCTCCCACAGTGGCATCCCTCTGTCAGGGAAATGCTCCTTCCTTGACTGTAACACGTGGTCCACATGAGCCTTCATCTCCCTGTCCATTTCTGTCTCCATTTCTAGTCCTCATCAACTGTCATCTGACCAACGTTGGCCAATCCTTCTTCCTCATCCTGGCCGTATGATATCTGATATCTTCCTCGTTTTTTTTTTTTTTTTTTTTAACTTGGCAACAAAACACCGATTTTCCTCTCTTTTGTGGTAGAAAACCAAAGACATGTAGAGTGTAGAAAGAATCAGTGAAGCTTCCCTGCCTACTTTTTGGAAGAAATAGGTTTAGGAAGAAAATAAAACTGATATTTAGCGAATTATGAAAGTAGACAAGTTCATGGTGTCACCAGAATTGCTGGTCTCAGTTGGCCCTGAAGTTTAGCCTAATCCTTCTCCTGAATCTCCACAGTGTTGAGGATCCTCTGGTGAATACTTCTACCTGTGTGTTCCAGCTGTGTCACCTGCTGGGCTTCTGCCACTAGCACCTAGTTCTCACTAAGAAACCCAAGGACTATAGATCACTGCCCTCAGGATCCCAGCCCCACACCTGCGAAGTGAAGACTTGCACTGCATTCCCAAGTTCCTCTTGACCCCATAGTTCTGTGAAGTTTGGATCTAGAGGCTCTGAGAAGACTTTGGCAAATCTTATAAGGAAATCAATGGAGAAAGCGACTCTTAGGAGGACTTGGGGCACAGGGAGTGTGGGCATGCACGGAATCAAGTCAAGATGAATTGCTTCAGTTACCTGGCGTCTTTCTTTGGGGTATCTTCTGTATTTGTGAGCAACAAGAGCCCACAAATGAGGTGAAGTGCTGGCTGACCAGTTTGGCCTTAAAAAGTCATGGGCTGAGAATCAAATTAATTGATTCAACTACTAATAATCCAACTACTAGTAATTTTTCCATTGGAGTGCCTCAGTTGGTTTGCCTGTGATTAGAACGCATGGATCTTTTGACCCCTAATAGCCCCGTCAGTCTAGCATTTTAGGAACGCACATAAACATTGTACAGTTCCCAAATATGAAAGCTGAGGGCAGGGATATCACAGATGAGCTGAGAGGGGGCTTCCACAGCAGGATAAGTCCTTTCATGGTGAATTTAAAGGCAATAGGTGTGCCTCCACCTTGAGCTGGCATGCGATCTGCCCGAGTATGGATGAGAGAAGATAGAGAGGGTGGACTGCAGCATGGGAGCTGAGGGTTTGTCCTCACACCCTTCCTAGTAGCTTTCCAGGCCATAAGCCATGATTGCTTAGTTCCAGGGAACAGACAGGTACTTACAGTAGTTCAAGCAAACAGCTTTTTGGGAAAGAAAATATTATTCCTTACAGCCAACTCTGACTGGGTCTTGCCCCTGTCCAGTCAGTGATAGCTCAGAAGGTGAGGACACACATGAACTGAGTAGGTGGACCTGAGTCCAGCCCATTACCAGTGGCTGTGGAGGATGCTTAGTAGAAAGAACACAGACTAGGCCAACTGCCCCAAGTATTTCCTTTTACAATCTTCTCGCTCTGAAACTTAGATTTTATTTCTGCCAAGTCCTGCTATGGTTTCACTTGAGAATGTTCCCAAGGCTCCATGTGCTCATAGGCAGGGCTTTTGGAAGAGGACCGGACCAGGGGGTGATACAGCGGACTTGGCTGGAGGCAGGTCACTGGGCAGGACCTGGGAGGGCAAATCTCCCTCCTGGCCTCCTTTTTCTCTGCTTCCTCTGCATGCCCCCCTGCCTTGCCCTTCTGTCTTGGAGCCTGCAGACTATGTATTGTAACTGTGAGCTAAAATAAAACTCTCCTCTTTTAATTTGTGGATGCTGGGTATTCCAGCAACAGGAAAATGACTAAGGCAAGTCTCCATTTTTTTCTAAAAGGCTACAAAATATACAGAAGAATCTCTCAGCTATTCCCAAATGTGGAGTTAGTAATCTCCTTCTGAGGGTCTGCAGGGTGGTGTAGGAATTAGGAGTGTGCATTCCCAGGTAGATTGCTGGGTTCCAGCAGTAATAGTGCCTAATCATAGGATTGCCTTATGAATTAAATAAGTGAACACACCTTATCAATCAATCCGTTCATGTGTCTATCCTCTTAGGAGAGTGAACTGACATCTATACATATACAGTGTGCACCTGAAGTAGTCTTTGTTGATACTGTTCTGTGGAATTTCTCTTAAATTTTGATCTCAGAACAAAAAAGCTCTTAGAGAAAAATGAACTTTATTCCAGTTTTATAGGCCCTAATACAATATGTGAATTCTTGATCAACACTCTTTGAGATTCATTTTGGTTGTCTTATAGAGCTAGCCACATAGTGGCTGAGTCATACTACTAATTACTATATGGTTTATTAAAAACATTTTTAAGCCATTACAACTTAATTAAGACACAATAATTGTTTGTATTTATGGGATGTGGTGTTATGTGTTCATCTATATGTACATTCTGAAAATAGTCCCTGATTAAGTTAAATTCAGTTAAGGCAATCAAGTGCTTCCTGGAAGCAGGGTTCTAACAGGCTTGGCAGCTGATTTTACCTGGGGATGAGGAGTGCAGATCAATAAGTTTATAGAACAGAACTGCAGGGCCTCAGCCAGGGGACTTACCTCAAAGTTGATGGAATGCCTTTCCTAAGGGCAAAGGTAGTGTCTCCTTCCATAGCTCCCCAGGCACCTACACGGAAAATGTCCCCTCAGCATGCCCCCAGTGCCTCTCCAGGTAGAGTGGTTGCTCCTGGGGGAACCAGTCTCCCAGAGGCTTGAAGGAGGCCAGATCCTGGGGAGAACCCTCAGGAGACTCTGCTGCCTGGGATAATTGCTGCTTTGCTGCTTGGTGTTTGGATGACTTCTGAGCCTCTTTAGGGCCATGTTAGCTAGGGAGTATCCTTTCCTAGGAAGTCTGGTTTTGTAGTGGCTAATGAAGAAGAGGTTTGTGGTTAAAAACTTCTGGGAAATGGTAGGTTAGGGAAGTCAGTGAGGTTTCTTAACTGTAGGATTTTACACATCTTTTTTTTTTTGGTTTTCCTCCGGTACCAGGAACCGAACTCATGACCTTGCGCTTGCCAGGTAGGCGCTTTGCCGCTGAGCTAAATCCCCAGCCCCCATTTTACACATCTTTTAATATACTGATGCGCAGTATGATTTTCTAAGAGCGGGCAGGGGTCTCCAAGCTTATGAGAACAGTAAATTTGTTCTCTGCCCTAGAGCATCTAGGAAAGACATGCGGGGACAGGAGGGAGCCTTCTGTGTGATTCTCAAACGCGTTGCTTTGTTGGGGTGAGGGAAAGAGAAAGATTCTTAGAGCAAGCATAAGACACAGAGGTAGTGCAAGTCGCCCCATCCCCATCAGGTCCTTATGCTTATGGACACGTGTTGTGTTGCTTATTGAAAGAAAACAAAGACAGGGTGATTAAGCCCAGAGAGGAAAGGTAACTTCCTCCTAATGGAGGGTCCTATGGTGGTGCGGGTGAACTAGAACTAGGGTCCTCTGGATTGGCAGGTCCCTGGCAGAGGAAACAGCAAGTGGAGGAGGAAGTCACTGGCCGAGTGGAATTCAGGTGAGAACAGCTCATGCCAGCTCAGGGCTTGCTGGTCTTATTTCATTTCTTCGTTATTAGCCCTGCTGAGTCACGTTGGCAGTGGCCTGGCTGCTGGTGCGTAGGAATACAGACATGATCGGAACCCTCCTTTACAGCCTTGTTCTAGAACTCTGTTAAGAACCTCCAAATCCACCAGCCCAGACTCCTCCAATAACACTCAGACAACACCAGACTGCAGAAGCATTTATTTCTGCTCTCAAATTTGGATGCTGTTTATTATCAAACTGCTGCTCTTATTAGGGACTTTGAGAATAACTAAGCAATGCTTCTGGAGATTTCTTAGGTGCCAAAAGGAGCTTACACTTGCTGTACAGGTTCCGAGGTTAATGCTGGTGTGTGTATACATGTATTTATCTATATAAAGCCTTAATAAACCAGCTGACTCTAATTAGCAAAACAGCTGTTGGTTAAACATTCATGTTGTTACATTGAGAATAGAAATACCTACAAACAGATCCATCCCATTGCTGGCTGATAATGGACCTTTTTTTGGGTTCATTCCCTTTTGTTCATAGAATATAAATTTTCCTTCCTTAACACTTTCATTTAAATTTTCAAATGTCCACTCTATATGTGGATTGCTTTTGGCTTTCCAATGTGCTTTCACACCTGCTGTAATCTGTGTATTATCTCATACGTGGGGAAGACAGTACAATCCCTTTTAGCAGGGAAAAGCACTGAGGTTCAATGCAGTATGTAACAAGAAGCAGTTAAGTGTGCGCAAAGCTGCAAATACAAGAACTCACTTACAAGCTAGAGGGTCACTAGGTCCTGGTTTTTACTACAATGCAAACATCCAGGGGCTGGGGATTTAGCTCAGCGGCAAAGCGCCTGCCTGGCAAGCACAAGGTCGTGAGTTCGATTCTTAGTACTGGAAAAGAAAACAAAACGAAAAAAGAAACAAACATCCATTACTTTTTACTTTGAAGTGAGCTCTGTATTTGCCTAGGTCCTCCTTCAGCTGCAAACTTTGTTGAACTGGAGTGGCTGACACTCACTTTAAGCTGTATTTCTTGCAATGAGTCACGTTTCTCTGGAGGGGTCCCTTCATCTGGCTCTTGTCTTAGCTCTCCCAGGTGAACCGCTCCATGGATGGCTGGGGGAAACTGCACCTTGGTGACGGAGTTCTTCCTTACTGCATTCACAGAGCACCCGGAGTGGGGCCTCCCTCTCTTCTTGATGTTTTTGAGCTTCTATCTCATCACCCTGCTGGGGAATGCTGGAATGGTCATCCTGATCCGCAAAGACCGCCGACTGCACACTCCCATGTACTTCTTTCTCAGCCACCTTTCCTTCGTGGACGTGTGCTACTCCTCTGTCATCGTGCCCCAGATGCTGGTGGTGCTGTGGGAACAGGGCTTGGCCATCTCCCAGGCTCGCTGTGCCACTCAGTTCTTCCTCTTCACCTTCTTCGCGTCCATTGACTGCTACCTCCTGGCCATCATGGCCTACGACCGCTACGTGGCCGTGTGCCGGCCGCTGCTCTATGCCACCATTGTGACCGAAAACACCCGCTGGGGCTTAGTCGCCGGGGCTTATGTCGCCGGTTTTTCCAGTGCCTTTGTGCGCACGGTCACAGCCTTCACTCTGACCTTCTGCGGAAACAACGAGATCAACTTCATTTTCTGCGACCTCCCTCCCCTCTTAAAACTCACTTGTGGGGACAGCTCCACCCAGAAAGTGGTCATTATTGTGTTCGCCACTTTTGTCATGCCCGCGTGCATCGTGGTGATCCTGGCGTCCTACCTGTTCATCATCATGGCCATCATGAGGATCCGCTCTGCCGGGGGCCGGGCCAAGACCTTCTCCACCTGTGCCTCTCACCTCACTGCCGTTGCTTTGTTCTTCGGCACCCTCATCTTCATGTACCTGAGAGACAACTCAGGCCAGTCCTCAGAGGGAGACAGAGCTGTCTCTGTGCTCTACACCGTGGTGACTCCAATGCTGAACCCCCTCATCTACAGCTTGAGGAATAAGGAGGTAAAGGAGGCTGTTAGGAAATCCCTGAGCTGATCAATGGCTTCTGGAAGGCCCTACATGGATCCTTCGGAAATATTCCACTTCTTGGTCTCTCTATTCTTTCTGTAATTTCTCAATGATGACCCAGAGACGGCTTTCCTAGACCATTCTACTTAAAGTTATACCTGAACTTTGCACCTCCACTTCCTGACTTACTATTCTCTGTAACACATGTCATTCTCTGGCAGGCTGGTTGTTTTATGTATTTCATAATGCCTGATTCTCACAAGTGGACAGTAAACATCCAGAGAACAAACATTTTTTCACACCCAATGCCTAACAAAGTACCTAAAAAGGAATAAACACTTGTTAAAATGAATTATCCTCAGGTTCCAGCATCTGTCTTTAAGACTCAAATTCTCCAGGCTTTATTTTCTTATCTTCCCAGTGAGTAGACCTATGTCATAGAATTCTATTGCTGAAGATGGGTAGCAACCATGTCTGTCTTATTCACAAGTGTTTCCTGGACTCATCACTTTCTGTGGCACAACACATACTGGATGTGTAGTGAAAAGTGTTGGAAAATTCCAAAGCCATTTGCAAATGCGATTACTATTTGAATTAAAGGGAATTTTCCAAGTCTCTTCATTTGTTCTTTATAAAATTTGCCTTCTTCCTGCTTCTGGGTTATTGGAATGGTAATAAAAATTGTAACAATATCAATAGATAGGAACTAATATTTATTATGCATTATTACCTTCCAGGACTTCAGTACATTTGCTATAGGACTTACTTTATTTAATTTGCAAGATATACCTGTGAAGCATGTTCTAGTATTATTTCTTGTTCTCAATGGATGAAGCACTTAAGGCTTAGAGGGGCTGAGCAGTTTCCCCAAGGTCAGTGAGGGAGTGAGTGGTGGAGGGATGCTTCCTCCTTGCCAAAGCCGGATCTCTTAATTGCCATATCTACCATCTCTGGTTGTGATCTACTGCCTGCTCTAAATCACTCAACTTGAAATTTATTGTTATTGTACTTTTCCTTTTATTTGGTGGAGAAAAAGTAAAAGTCCAACTTGTGGAGGCAGAAGGCAGTAAATAACATTCATTTCATAGCCCCTTAAGTGTTAGTATTGAATCATGTGATGTGTGTGTGTGTGTGTGTGTGTGTGTGTGATTGTATATGATGAAGTGAATATAGATTAAATAATTCATCTGAGCTTTCAGTTTAAGGACATAGGACAAGTATTTTAGGAATATCTTGGGTGGACATATACAGGAAAAGATACAGGCAAAGACATTTTACTGGTGGTCAAGAGACGGGCACTCACACCAGAGCTTTTGTCTGTGTTTTACACAAATCACTTAAAACTATTGAATGAGATGAAGGAACTTTGTACAGTGTATCCTACTGGCCAAGTTTCAGATTTCATCTGCCATGCAGATGCTTCCTGAACACATCAGCTTCTGTGGCCTGCGTTAATTAGATGTGTTTATGTTGTAGGAGAGGCTCAGAATTTTGCACCAGTGTATGGCTTCAGATTAGTTGACCTGCTTCCTGTACGTGAGATAATATTTACTCAATACTTACTTTGGGCTTCCCATTTATCTCACTTATTCTCAAAACAACTTGGTGCACATGGAGAATGGAAAGGTGCTTAGTATGTTTTACCACCATTAGTACATATTAAAATAATCATCCAGACTCCAAACACAATGAGTAATGGGCAAAGAGACACACGGCTTCTTTATTTCAGAATTGCCAAGGATGTCCGGGACCTCCTGGGCCCAGATTAGTTTTGAGTGCAGATGCTTCCAGAAGTGGAGGGCTCACTAATAATTTTTTCACTTCACTCCTAAGCTAATGCATCCCTACCATATGCAAGGCACTATGCTAAAAGCTTTACATGAATCATTTATTTTAGTCCTCCTAACAACTTTAATGGAAAATAATTATTATTGACTCCACTTAGAGAAAGAAAAAAATCCATCAAGACACAGAAAGCTTATGTGACTTATTCATGCTACTAGCAAGAAAATTCTGATCTTAGTTCTTTCTTGTTCCAATGTGGTTACCCTTAACTGATATTATTCCTTCTGGATTCTCTTCCTTTTTTTTTCTCCAAGGCCCCAAATTCTTGCAACTTTCTTCAGAGGTGTCTGGTTTTCAGTTGTGCTCTTAGCCTGAATCTTTGTTTGATGTGGGCTGAGGTGGATGTATCCTAGGACTGAGGTAAGAGTGAAGTTCATGAAACTTACATTGGCTGTCTTATGGCTCAGTGCAGATCTGGGGGAATTTTCAGTGCCCATAGAAAGGGTAGGAGTGGCTCAGATGAACTATTGCCTTACAAAGCCTTTTGGGTCAAAACATTCTTCAGTAAGTAGCTAGTCAGTATGGTGTTACCAGTTAATCACCAACCTTGCCTTTGTTTTTCAATCTTAAGCAGTCATTTAAGGATCTCAATATTATGTTACAAATGCTAATCATTGTTAATTCTTATTATTTAGTAGTATTATAAAATACTGCACTGCATGCATATATGAATGTGTACAGACAGAATTCATTATTTTTGTTTGATCACTCTATCCTTGTCCTCATCATACTCAAGAGATATATCTAAAACCCTTTCTGATTTTCTGGATTACAAATGATTTTCTTGAGTTTAATTGACATGCAATAAACTGAATATACTTAAAGTGTACAATGTGATAAGTCTTGACATAGGAAGACATTCATGAAATTATCACCACAATCAGCTTGCAATTTTATATAAAAATAATGTATGGCTTCAACTTAGTGTAATTGTTCCAAGAATCACTAACATTGTCACATACATGAGTAGCTCACTCCATATTGCTGAGCATTACTACATTGTGTGGTTGTACTGTGTTTGCTTATTTCTGCAACTGTTAATGGCTACTTGGGTTGTTTCTAGTTTTTGGCCATTAGAAATAAAGCTATTATGAGATTCATGGAAAGCTTTTGAATAGAAATATGTTTTCAGTTCTCTTAGGGATAGAATGGCTATATGATAAGGCAGGTATATGTTTAATGTTTTAGGAAACTCCTGGGCTGGTTTACAAAGCCATTGTATCACTTGACATTCTCATCAACCATGTTCGGAGTCATTTAAAAATCTGGTAGGAGGAGAAGAAGTAGACGAGGAGACACAGGCAAGTTAGAGGAAGGCAGAAGCAAAGAATGTGAGATGTTGGTCTCCTCTCACAAAACCATCCTGAGGGCCGTGGGGCCCTTTTCATTTTCATGCTGAGATAGCAGCTGTGCTTTCGGAGCGCTGGGGATGCCAGCAGGTCAGAGAGGACGATGAGCTCAGAGGGCTTTCTGGTCCTGCGGTATTTGAAATAGCTATTCCCTGTTTTCCTTAGCAATATTTCCTCTTCTTTCTTTGGCTTCCTGAGCACTACTTTATTGCCTTCTTCAGTACGAGGGCCTCCTAGGGCACTGTCATATTCTCTCAGGAGACACAATCTCATTCAGTCTCATGACTTTAAGTATGTAACTATCTAAACAATATAATTTCCCCCCAGCGGCCTGCAAGCTTCACCTTGCGTGGGTTGGTAACCACCTCCATGCCTGTGTCCATTTCCCGTTCCTTGAGAAAGCCAAACCTACTCCCATAGGAACTGCCTTCACATCCCCTCTTCCCTTTTCTTGGGAGGCGTCTCCAGACCTCCTGGCTCACTTCACTGTTTAATCAGTTGTCTGCTCAAATACCTGAGTGAGTCACTGTCTGACTTCTCTGCCTACTTGACATAGCCAGTCCCCCCTGAGCCCTGCCCACTGCCGCTCTGCCTCACACTGTTCATCCATCATGTATTTATTCATATGTTTGCTGTCTGGCTCATTCACGATAAAGTAAGAGCTAAGAACTTAGGGCCATTGCCTTATTTCCCTTTCACCCTTACTAGGTACTCAAACATTTTTCTTTAGTAGATAAATAAATTAGTATTTATTGGCATCTTATACATTAGGATTTACAGGGTATTCCTATCCTATGTAGACCTCTTTTTGATCTTTCTAAAATCTCCTCATGTTTATGTTAGTTTCAATTAGAGGACAGAAGTCTCCTTTAGTTTCATAATAAAACTATGAATTGGTTTTTCTCAGGGGAGAAAGCCAGCAAGCAAGAATAGTGTAAAATTTACTTAACTGCACTTTGAATAAACTCTTTATGCCTTTTAAATTAATGACAGTAATTATTGACCAAATACTACCTTTATTAAAGTCATGCAAAATTATTTTTATTTTTCTCTGTGTGGTTTGGTAGTGCCTTGAGGTCATGGACTGTGAGTTGAGTTGTTCATCCTTTTACTCTGAGACTGTTAAATAAAAGGTTCTCAATAGATGTTTGTAGAAAATAGAAAATTAGAGATTCAGGGAAATGTAAGACTCAAGGTACAAATATCTGTCTTTCCTGTGAAGATTATCAAAGTCTTCATAAAAGCCTGTGATTCCTTTTTCTTACTCAGTTGTCTTCCCTGTTTTAATCCTAATTCTAATTCATGTCTTCAGGCAAACTTCCAGTTTGTGTACAAGTCCATTTGTGGGCAAATCAGCCTTCCTGTTGCTACAGATGGAACTTTCCCTTCTGCCTCCTGTGGAGCCTTCAAGTCAGGGGAAATAGAGGACCAGGACAGGACTATAAGGATAGAAAACAATTTAAAACAATTCTCCTGGGTATAATTCTGGGTGTTTCCAAAACACAGGTGCCTGATTCCTTCCCCGGAGAGGCTGAGTCAGTAGATCCAAGGTGCGGTCTGGGAAGAAAGCAATAAAACCTGGTTTGTAGCTTACTTATTAACTCAGAATCCTCAGAGTTTGAACCATGGTTAAAGCCCCTTTGCAGATGGTCTTCCTTATACATGAATGACCTGTACGTGCTGAGATGCAGCTGCAGCAGCAGTTAGGTACTGATCACACCCATTTGACATCAGCAGGGTGTAGGGCCTCAGGAACCCAGAGCTGATGCATCTCTGGACTGAGGCAGACCGTGTCCACTCACTGCTCTGTCTCAGTCATGTGTATTTTTAGCTTGGACTGCTTGAGCTGTCACAGGTGTGCTGGGGAGTCACGAGGTTCCCACTGCCTTGTCGTTGTGGACATCCTGCATCCTGTTTTAGGGCTCAGTAAGATTGACTTGGGCTGTATTTGATGACTCTGCTAATCTGAACCCAAGACCACTGCAGCCGGCCAGAAAGAAAAGGCATTGTGGGGTCTGAGAAGGTGAATTTTGAAAAAGTCCACCAGATAATTCCGATGCCCAGCTTCAGCAGTAGAAGGGGTGCAGAGCAGTGGCCTCATTTCATAGATGAGAGAATAGGCTCAAGAAAGTGAGCAGACAAACTTCAAGTTTCCAGAGCTGCTTGAGTCAGCACTGTAATGTACTTTCTGTACACACATTTCTGTGGCTTTTCCTCTGGATATCTCCCAAACATATTCTGTGACACTCTGAGATACATTAAGTTCGGTATTATTGAAGTTTAGTTTTGAGGAAGGCTGCATTCCATACTGCTCTTTAAAATTTTAAAAATTGTATTAGTGCCTCTTTGCAGTACATGAAGTTTATGTTCACCTCAGGGAGTAGGTGCAGGAACAGCACAGCTTGATTCTTTCTTAATTTACTTCCCTTCCCACCCACCCACCTCTTCCGTCTCCAGACCCGCTTTCCCCGTTCCATTATTACTGCTGTTATTTTTAGCGCATGTTTATGACATCCAGTGTTTACGTTCCTTGTGGGTGTTTGGTCCCATTTTTATTTCCCCTCCCTTTCACTCCCTCCCCTCACCCTTTGTCTCCAGTATCCCTTCCCATTTGCAAAAGATCAATCTCCTTCTTTGCTTGTACCAGTGCTTTATTTTACTCTTTATTTGTACTTTGCCTTACTCAAATGAGAGAGTGTAAGGTAAGGCTCTGAGGTGTCATCTAGTTAATAACATTTTGCTTCATTTAATTCAGCATTGCCCCAAATAATTGGAAGTGGAAGCACAGTATTCATTTTTACAACAAATAAATATCTCATTAAATAGAAGCAAATTTCAGGAAAAATCTAGAGGAGCAAAGGATTAATAATAACTGTATTCAAAACTTCAAAAGCTAGACTATAGGTATTACAAGCACTGCTTATTTAAGTTATAAGTTTACATCAAAGTTTGTGGTAACAGACTGTGATCAAGATGTGTTTTTTTTTATTTTAAAGAGAATAAAAAATAAGAAAAAAGAATAAAAATGATACAGAATTTTAAAACAAGATGATAGAACATTAACAATGATTGTTATAATGCATATTGTTATCTTCAGAGTACTTGTTCAGATTACCAATTTAGGCACACAAAATTGATCAAACAATTAAGCATTAACTGTTCCTTTCAATAAACTAACAGAATCTACTGTGATAAAATCAGCATAGTATTGGCAAAAAAGAGACTTGAAGATCAATGGAACAGATTAGAAGATGTAGATGCAACTACAAACATACTCAGTCACCTTATCTTTGACAAAGGTGCCGAACGCATTCACTGGAAGAAAGATAGCCTCTTTAATAAATGGTGCTGGAAAAACTGACTTTCCACATGCTGAGGACTAAGACTAGACCAAAGTCTATCACTGTGCACTAAACTAAAGTCAAAACTGATCAAAGATCTAAATATTAAAACAGAAATACTAAATCTACTGGAAGAGAAAGTAGATGTGTTTTAGGTTGATGTACTATGGGGTTAGACCATCTTGTGTCTAAGATCAGAGTTCTGTAGAAAAGCACAAAGCCCTCAAGGACTGGAATAGGAGGCAAATACCTGAAAATGTACAAAACTTAAACCATCACAACTATGCCATAAACTCTGGGCTGAGTAATCAATTTCATTATGCAGATCAAAGAATTCAGACATCCAGGGCATCAAAGGGAGGAACCCCTTTTTTTACTGATGAGCTTCCTCAGAGCACTGTTCATGTCCTTGTTCCTCAGACTGTAGATAAAGGGGTTCACCATGGGTGTCACCACAGTGAATAGCACAGCACCAATTTTATCTGTGTCCTCTGGGTGAGTGGACAAGGGGAAAAAGTAAACTCCTACGATTGTCCCATAGAAGAGCAACAGGACAGTCAGGTGAGAGGTGCAGGTGGAGAAGGCTTTCCACTTTCTTTCTAGGGATAAGAGTCTCAACACAGCCCTGATGATGTAGATATAGGAGAATAGGATGACAGCAAAGGGGAAGATGATGACCAGTAAGCCCACGACAAGGAGCACAAGCTCATTGACCGTTGCATCAGAGCAGGACAGTTTGAGTAGGGGGGCCAAGTCACAGAAGAAGTGTGGGATGGTGTTGCTGTCACAGAAGACCAATTGGATGAGTAGAAGGGTGTGTGTCAGGGCAACAATGTTACTGAGGACCCAAGGGATGACTGTGAGGAGGATGCAAAGCATGGGATGCATAATAGTTGTGTAGTTCAGTGGGTGGCAGATGGCTACAAAGCGGTCGTAGGCCATGACCCCCAAGAGGAAATTGTCGATGACAGTGAAGACGATGGAAAAGTACATCTGGGTGATGCAGCTGCTATAGGAGATGGACTGACTCTTGGTCTGAATATTCATCAGCATCTTGGGGATGGAGGTAGAAGAGGAGGAGATGTCAGCAAAGGACAAGTTGGCAAGGAAGAGATACATGGGGGTGTGCAGGCCCGTGTCTCGGGCAATGGCCAGAATGATGAGCCCATTCCCAGCCACAGTGACCAGGTGCATGCCCAAGAAGAGCACAAAGAGGAGGCTCTCCTTCTCCATCTCGCTGGAAAGCCCCAGAAGGATGAACTCGGAGATGGTGGTTTGGTTTCCTTGCTGCATATTTCTGTGAACCTGAGGAAAGGAGCACAAGTCTCTATGTTTTCACAAGGAAAACCAGAACAGTACTTTTCAGTTGCAGTTATTTAGGGGGGATTTCCCGAACACTGAAGGGAATGAAGTTCCTTCAACCTGACAAGTAGAAGGGTGACTTAAAAGGGGCTATCTCGTCAGTGCAGAGCCAGGAAATGCCTGGGAAGGAAAAGACAGGGCATGCTGTTGGCTTCTCGATGAACATACTTTAAGCTACGTCCAGGCTCTGAATTTGATTTTTTCAGTTAGTGCCAAGTGTTGTTCAAATCCACCACAGAGGAAGGGTATCACATATTCATTCTAAAGATGCTAGTTACTCCTGCAAGAATTTTTAAAAATGAGAAAGTGGGTCCCAAGACTGTCTGTGATGTTTTTAAATCTAAGAAGGTAGAAATTTAGAAGGTGAAGAAAGTGAGAGCTTGGGGAAGTTGAAACAACTGAATGTGAGAAATCCTTATGTGAGTGTGATATGTGTATATCCCTCCCTACCAAAGTTCAGGGAGGAGTCCAAAGAATGGCTCTTGGTAAACGAATACAAGAAGGAATGATCAGAACTTTTCTTCCTTTGTGGCTCTGCTTGATGACCCAGAGAATTTAGAAGACACGGTTGAACCAAAAGACTTGTGTTAGTTTCTCACTTCTAGAGGTGGGGGTCTCAGTGGATCAGCCCACTTGACAGGGGCGAGGGAGAGAATGATGGTTGGTAGGGAAATCCCACCTTCTCATCCACAGTGAGGCAGGTGTGGGTGCATTTCCCACAGGCCAAGTGCACACTGCAGGGCTCACTGAACTCAGGCTGCCTCCGGGGACTCCAGCCAAGAAAGGGCCTGCCAGGGTGGTGCAGGACATCACTGTTAGAGCCCATGGGGTGACTCTGTTATGAAAGAAATATCTTAAAGAGAAAATAGAGAAAAAACAGCGCTCTTGTCAGGGAACTGCATAATGATACACACTTTGAAACAAGGTCCCTGGAGCACCCGAAGTTGTCTTCTGAGAGAGCTGCTTGCTACACCAAAGGCCCCGGCTGCTAGTGTTTGATGGAAACAGACTTTTCCCCACCTCATCTTTTCTCCCTGACCCTGTAAAACTAAAAAAGAAAGGAAGAACAAAACAACAGAAAGGGAGGATAATGGGAACGCAAGGCAAAAAGACAAGGGAAGACCAGAACCCCCCATCCCCTCCTGTCTCCATCAAGCTGCGCAGGAGACCTGAGCTCGAGAGAGAGGATGCGTGCTTAGAGCTGGATGTGAAACTCGAGCTTTGCATTGGGCCCGTCTTAGCTCTTTAGTACTTGGAAGTGGGTCTTCAGTATAAAATGAGACTTGGTTTTAGAATCATAAGTGATGAGAAAACTATTGATGCCTCACAAAGTTTCACCTAGAAGCAGGAAAGGGAAGTTAAACTAGTGTGATTTTCCTTGCGGTCTGCTGTGAAGAATATCGGATTCCGAGACAGAAGGCACTCTCTTCTCTCCCGATGCTGTCTCCCTCTCATTTCCCTTCCTCTCTCTTCTTTCATTCCCCAAGTCACTTGTCTCTCCAAGGTTTTTTTTCTTTCCACAGAGAAGCCACAGACAGCAAATCTCCATCTCTCAGATTTTGGAAAACGGAAGGGCAGGGGGCCCTGGCAGAAGCTCAGCAGTCTCTCTGCTCTGAAGAGCACGGCTTACAAATCAGAAGAGGTGGGAAACATCTGCAGAAGGGAGACATGCTACAAAAACAAAAATGAGGTAAAGAACTGGTAGGATACCTAAGCTACAGACTGCCCACAGCAGGTCCTGTTATTTCCACTTCCTGGGCTGGATCTGGTTGGACTAGGTGGGGACCTGTGTGTCTCTGAGTAACAATCTCTCACCTCACGTCCTGTTCTACCTCTCCCAGCCACAGCACCCTTACACAAACTGTTCTCAGTCTCTGGGCCAGCTATCTAACTGGTTGGGACCAGCGCTAACTTCCAAAAGGACTCACCTCTGAAAGGTGATTGAATCTCAGAAGTTACTGCAATCTGGAGTCTGAGGCTGGCAGGTGGAGACAGAGAGCAGCTTTTGCTCTGACCTGGATTCTTGCTGTGGGGACAGAACAAATGGAGCCATGGTGCCACACCAGCTCACCTGGGATATGTAGCTCCTCCGACATCCCTTGGGGAAACATCCCTGAAGTGTTTCCCTCCAGACACACTTAAATGTTCACATCCTCATCTTGATGAGCAAATGGGGAAATAACAGCAGATCTGCTTTCTTCTCTGTTAGCCTTGTCTTCAGGTGTTCCTTCTCCAAGTGATTTCCTACGTGTATCTTGGCTACTGCTGTTCAGACCAAATTAGTTGTTTGTTGTGTGAGTGTTTCGTCCCCAAGTGAAAGTGTTTTGAGAGCTCCTTCTGTTTTCTCTCCAATGTCTAGTAGAGGGGAGCACTTACTAAATACCTAGAGAATTGAGTTGAACTCCTCTGCTGGTGACCAGGACCCTGAAGAGATGCTGTCTCCAGTGGAAGGTAATAGACAAGTGTCGGCACCACTGGAGGCGGGCGTTGGCATTGGAAGGGTGTTTGGATGTAAGGGAGAGAAATTGAGTCTGTGTTTATAACACTTAAAAGAAACACTAAAGTGGTACTGAGTTGTTCATAATTCCCCCTGCAATCCTGGAAGCACAGACCCTGAGAAGGAAGGCTGCACAGAGCCACGGTCAAAAGTAGTATTTTTTTTTTTAGTGTGTTCTTGTGCCTCCCCTTGCCAACTGGAAGCAACTCCATCTGTGGGTTATTAATTTTATTTGTGACACGAATTCATGACTAATACTTAAAACAGCAGGGTAATGGAGAAGAAAGAAAAGGCAAGTTATTCTATCATCTATCTATCTATCATCTATCTATCTATCATCTATCAATCTTTCATCTATCTATCAATCTATCATCTATCTATTTACCTATGATCTATCTACCTATCTGGTAACAGAGAAGAAAGAAAAGTCAAGTTGTTCTATATCTATCTATCTATTTCTCATCATCATCATCATCTATCTGGTCACAGCTAGGAAATAGTGTGGATCATGCGGCTGGGACCAGAATGCTTTTTGTCTCTCTTTTCTTTCTTTCTTTCTTTCTTTCTTTCTTTCTTTCTTTCTTTCTTTCTTTCTTTCTTTCTTTCTTTCTTTCTTTCTTTCTCTCATTTCTTTTTTGTAACTTGGCCATGAGGGATATTTATGGCTCACTTCTGTTAGTGTTTTAACATGGGTCTTCTAGAAAGCAAAGCCTGACTCAAGAATTTACAGATTATCTTTGGACAATCACAAACTATTATATCTAAGGTCCTCCCCTCACCAGAACTAAAATTGTGTCCATGTGGGGATGCTCTCTGCCCTGTTGTGAATTCATGGTAGAGCTCCCGTCTTGTTCTGGAATGACATGGCAAGAATGTTAGCCACCCAAGGTACAAAGTGTCCACTTTTGCAATTGCCCCCAAGGCTCAAATTGATATTCTTCATCTCTCTTGTCCATCACTCACTTTAGATACCCTCACACCTACCTCACACACTGTCTGACCTGGCTTGTTTGTCTAAGATCCAGGCTTTTCCCATAAGGGGCATGAATTCTTACTACCCTGACCCTGCTAGATTGTGCTTGTGGCAATTGCTTATTATAGTATTTAGATCAAAATTTGGAATCTCTCTGGTACACTATCATAGAAATAGAGAGCCCAACTTGCACCAACTGGTCCCTGTGTGTGAGTGAGAGAGAAAAGCCACTCTGGCTGTCATCAAGTGCTTTGTGAATTGTGCATTTTAGCTACAAGGGATATGTACTGCTTACCTGAGGTGAGTTCAGGGACTCTACATAACCCAGAGGGACAGTACCCCGACCCACAAGGTGTTGTTCCCCACGTGACCACTTAGTTTCATTAGATTATTCCATCACTGTATCAGTCAGGTGGACTATGTGGTGGAAGGAAACATTCCATGGTCGTTTGTCCATGGGTGCAGCTTCCTTCTCTGGCTTAAGATGGAGCCCTTAACTGTACACAAGTTGTGTAGGAAGCCTTGTGTTTTAATTACTTTTTTTTTTGTTACCAGGCAAAACACTGAAGGCCCGAAATTGAAAGTAGGAGAAGTTTACATGGGGTCATGTTTCAGAAGATTTGTCTGTGTCTGGTAGGGTTAAAGACAGGCACTGCCTGGCGGAAAGCCCTGGGCAGAGGAAAGCTGCTCACATCATGGTGGCCAGAAAGTAGGGAAGGAAAGGAAGAGACAGGGAGGAAGATAGGTCCTTCCGGAACACTCCCCCAGCAATCCACCTACCTCCTCCGATCAACCACTGACAGGAAGTCAGCTGTAGTGCCCCATGGCCCAATCCTCTTCCCAAAGCCCCCCTGTGAGCACATGAGGCTCAAGGGAGACATCTAGATGTAAACGGCAGTGCTATCATGACTGGGAAGGCCATCTGCATGAACTTGACCATGTCTGCAGAAAGCTGGAGAAAAGGATATTTTTCTTTTGGATGGCCAATCCTATGCGGCTGTGCTGGATGGGGTGTATCAGTGTATCAGCTTGTCTGAAAATGGGAACTACTTTCCCCAGAATTCATCTTTTTGTGTGGTTGTAGGAATAGAGTTAGAAAAACTTGCATACAATTTGTAAGGTAGAAATTCAGCAGAAGCCATTCTGAAGAGGTCACTTTTTGGAAATCACACAAGACAGACACAGGTGAAGTTGCCCAGCATGGCCAGGGTGTCCCATGCTTTGCACCCAGACCACTTTCTAGACCTTACTAAATGATGGCACATACCATGGAAGTATCCCAGGTGCAGGCAGGGAGAGGATGCATCATCTGTAGAGAATTTAAATCAGTAACAAAATGGGTACAAGCCAGTCTACCTTTCACTATCACAACACTCCCACACTGCTATCAAAGTCAAAGTGAGTACGCCATACCAGGGCAGAGCACTCTCATTGTCTATGCTTTTACAAGCCTCCTCACCCCCTCTGCGTGCGACTGGAGGTAAC